TGTGTGTGTGTGTATGGATAATTCACTCAGAAACTATAGGAATCGCGATTCTGTGTATAATTTCTAATAAAAAATACTTCTTACTATATTTTCCAATTCTCCGGTGCCATGCAAACAGTGGTATGAAAATTACTCCATCTTCTGTAACTCCGCTTGACCATATCATATTCACACTTGAAATTTTCGGGAAAATTACAGAAGCCTAGCTTACCTTATATTCTTTTAAAATGAGAGATTCTTTATACTGCTTGTAGGTGATCCATGGGCCAAAGATCACCGTTGAGCCATCCAGCAAGTAGGAGCACAGATGCAGCAACGGGATATTTACATGCTTTTCACTGGCTAAATCAAACGAAAGTGAAGTGATTTTCATCACAACGATCATCAGAATACCGCGCATCGTCATGAACTTCTCCGCTTCAAACACATATTGCCTGCAAGAAAGATTTATACCTTTCTTTATTATTCTTCCTTTTAAATTCTACAAACTTGTGCACTACCCAAAATTTTCTAAATTTTGTTTGGCAAAAGTTAATTCTGGACGTGGATGAGAACTCTGGATGCAGCAATTTTAGCCTTGAATAGAACACAGAAGTAGTCGGCTGTATCGGCGGTCATTACAGATAATGTGCGCGGTCCTTTGCTGCACTTTTCCACATCGAGGACGCCGTATGATGTTTCCGATTTGAAGTACAACAAAGGTTCCGCGAGTTAGCAGCTCATAAGCTGTAGTTGCATTTCGAAAAATCCACGTTATCCGATGGCATTGACTTTTTTTTGTTTGTCTGAGATTCTTACGGAATTTTGTCTTCCGGTTCCCAGTTCGTTGTCCTTGATCAAACCAAAAGTCTTGAGGACACTGGGGCTCAGCGACTAACGACATGTGAATAAAAAAGGACAAAAAGGTAGAAAAAAAACAACTAAAAGTAATAAATTAGTAATAAAGTAACTGCTGAAAGTAAGCATCCGGTAAGGTAAAGGGTCAAAAAGACAAACTCACCAAACGAGAAGCATACCAATTGAATAAAACAGCATGATAAAGCCAAAATGCTTCCTCAACAAAATTTTGAAACAT